CATACAAGCACTTTTGTTCGCCTCAAAGTTATAACTTGCCTGTATCTCTGTCCCAACAGCAGGGCCAGAAGTCTGTCCACGCTTATTGCAGTCAAGGTGGGTAGAGACACCGCGCCTAATATCGAACCCACAGCAAAACTTGCGACTAATGCATGGCGGCAAATCTTCCAGTTTTCCGTAAGTAGAAGTGCCACATAGCCAATGTAAAGAGGTTGTGCAATAACACCAACACAGAGATCAGTTGCTGCCAAATTCCGAAACAACAGTTTGGATGATGGATGAAGAGAAGAAACCTTGTTAAGGGCCACGAGGATCAGAGCGTTTCCTACAGTTGTGGTGAGAGCAATAAATACGTTGAAGACAACAAGACCTGTTAACTGATAACTTATTTCTGTAGTCAAGCCAGTTGAACAAAGCACTTCAAATACTTTTTGGCTTTCGCCTTCAGTATGATTTGTTATCGACATTTTCTAGCAGTTGAATATCCTCAATTGTTCCTCAGAGAGATCTCTCTTTCTTGCGCGTGACTGTGATATTATTGATGAACACCTGGCTTATAACTTTCTCCGGTCACCTATATATTTCCCCAAAATATGCAAATTAGGAATCAGAAAAAAAGTATAAGATTAACGACGTGATCAACCTTTGGCGCTATTTCTTATAAAGGTGCACAGAGCCCTATGTAAATAGAACTGTCTATAGGCTATCGAAAAGACTAAAGTAAAGTTCTACACTGCTATGATGTCAAACTTAACCTCAAACTAAACAAAGCGAAAACGAAGTGAGACTTTTTTCTTAAAAGGAAATTGTTTGTCTTCGAGTGTGTCTTTCCCAAACGTGATCAAAACTCTTTAAACATATAGCTGGCACATTAAATGTTGCCATTGGCTATCAGAATTGACTTTGTGCAGCTGTTAAAATGAACAAAGCACGGAAGGATATACGATCCTCTTTCTTAAAAAGAACAATTGTTTACTTTTGCCATCATTGATGGATGTGCTATTTGTCTTTTCTATAAAAAACGTCTCTAGAATATGACATGAACATGTTCTAATAAGTGCTTTCATTAAAATTTCATGTGTTACATAACGGGCGTGTGCAAAAAAGTATTCAGATGGTAAAATAAGCGCTTTGGATCATGTCTTCAAACCTGTCTATATCAAGCGCCAGATGACGTCCATTTGTGTGATTAAGGAAATGAGTCCTTTGTTCTTATTTTAATTAAGACTTGATGTACTTTTAAGCTTTAGGGTGCGCAATGAAACGAAAAATTATGTCGAGAGCTTATTTTCCATTTTTGATCAAGTACACCCAAATCATCTCAAAAGATCATTGTTTAGCCTTTATTAAAGACGCCCCCGCCGAAAGAAAAGTGGGAGAGAAAGCTCTCTCACAGATTTCTTTTTCTGGAAATGGAGGCTGGAGCACAGGTTACCATTAGTGTTTTTCTTAGCAAAGGAAGTTCCCATTGCCACGCGTTAATATTGTTCTGTTTTTAAGCTCGTTTTCTTTAATAAAAACGTGAACGACATTTTGTCAGTAAAACGTCAATGAATGTTTGCATAGAGTTTTTTGGGAATCTAGTGAGGACTGTTCGCCCTCGGCCAGGATGATATCGTAGAACAAGTGCAAACATTAGGGAATTAAGCATATCAAAGACTCTTTTGAAAAAATGCCATTAGCAGACTAACGTAGCAGTGCATCATGAACAGTAAAAATAGTTTAAAGTATCTTACATCACGGTCTACATGTAAAGTGCCCACCCATGTGCCAGCAACATAAATTTCAACTCGATCGAAGAATTTCTGAACGATTTATAAGAACTCAGTGTTTTTACGAATTACACCCACAGCATTAGAGGAATACAGCCCTGTTCTCATAGAATTAAAAAAAAAAAACACCAGGAAGAGATACGTGCAGTAGAAGTCATTTCTCGCCCATGTCAACTTTCTTTTCTCTCGTAAGTTCCCGCGCGTTTAGAGATGCGGCACACTCGCGTTTTAGGTGCGGCGATCCCAACCAATGCTTACCTAACTTTGTAAAGATGCTACTTTTAGCCCTCCTCCGAATCTACACACGTGTATTTCACATGTGGAAAACTATCACCTTGCAGAGTGTTTGGGTCGAGGGATTCTCGCCCATATCAACTTTCTTTTCTCTTGTAAGTTCTCGCGCGTTTAGAGATGCGTCACACTCTCGTTTTAGGTGCAGGGATTCCAACCAATGGTTACCTAACTTTTTAAAGATGCTACTTTTAGCCCTTCCCCAAATCTACTCACGTGTATTTCACTTGTGGAAGTCTATCGATTTCGACAGTGGTTGGGTAAGAGATTCTCGCCCCTATCAACTGTCTTTTCTCTACTTAGTTCTCGCGCGTTTAGAGATGCGCCACACTCTCGTTTTAGATGCAGGGGTCTCAACCAATGCTTACCTAACTTTTTAAAGATGTTGCTTTTAGCCCTGCCCCAAATCTAAAAACTACTTAACTTTTCAAACATGCCACTTTTAGCCCTCCTTCAAATCTACACACGTGTATTTCACTCGTGGAAGTCTGTCGCTTTGGACAATGCTTGGGATGGAGATTCTCGCCCATTTATATTTTTTCCTCTTGCGGGTTTTCGTGCGTTTAGAGATGCGCCACATTCGCGATTTTGGTCTGGTGATTTCAAACTATGCTTACTGGACTTTTTAAAGATGCTACATTTGGCCCTTTCTTAAATCTATACACGTGTATTTCATTTGTGGAAGTCTGTCGCTTTGGACAATGCCTGGGTCCAAGATTCTTGCCCCTTTATATATTCTGTTTACTCGCGTATTTTCGCGCGTTTAGCGATGCGGCACACTCGCGTTTTGGGTGTGGGGATCCCAAACTATTTTTACAGGGCTCTTTAAAAATGCTAGTTCTGGCCCTCCACCAAATCTAACGTATTTCACTTGTGGAAGTCTATCGATTTGAACAGTGGTTAGGTTGGAGATTCTCGCCCAAATCAACTTTCTTTTCCCTCGTAAGTTCTCGGGCGTTTAGAGATGCTCCACACTCGCGTTTTAGGCGCGGGGATCCCAACCAGGGGCTACCTAGGTTTTTAAAGATGCATTTTTTGCCCTCCCGCAAATCTACACACGTGTATTTCACTTGTGGAAGTCTATCGATTTTTGACAGTGCTTGGGTAAGAGATTTTCGCCCATATCAACTTTCTTTTCTCTTGTAAGTTCTCGCACGTTAAGAGATGCGCCTCACTCGCGTTTTAGGCTTGGGAATCCCAACCAATGCTTACCTCACCGTTTAAAGATGCTACTTTTAGCCCTCCCTCAAATCTACACACGTGTATTTCACTTGTGGAAATCTATCGATTTGGACAGTTCTTGGGTGAGAGATTCTCGCCCATATCAACTTTCTTTCCTCTAGTAAGTTCTCGCGCGTTTAGAGATGCGCCCGACTCACGGTTTTGGTGTCAGGATTTCAAACTATGTTTACTGGACTTTTTAAAAATGCTAGTTTTAGCCCTTTCTCAAATCTAGACACATGTATTTTACTTGTGGTAGTCTGTCGCTTTGGACAATGCTTGGGTTGGAGATTCTCGCCCATTTATATATTTTTCTGTCCCGTGTTTTCGTGCGTTTAGAGATGAGCCACATTCGCAATTTCGGTGTCCGCATCTCAAACTATGCTTACTGGACTTGTTGAAAATGAAAGATTTGGCCCTTTCTCAAGTCTACACACGTTTATTTCAGTTGTAGAAGTCTGTCGATTTGGACAGTGTTTTGGTTGGAGATTCTCCCTCATATCAACTTACTTTTCTCTGGTGAGTTCTCGCGCGTTTAGAGATGCGCCCCACTCGCGTTTTAGGTGCGGGGGTCTCAACCAATGCTTACCTAGCTTTTTAAAGATGCTAGATTTGGGCCTTTCTCAAATCTACATACGTGTATTTCACTTGGGGAAGTCTATCGATTGGGACAGTGTTTGGATTGGAGATTCTTGCCCATATCAACTTTTCTTTCTGTCGTAAGTTCTCGCGCGTTTAGGGATGCGCCACATTCGCGTTTTAGGTGTAACCAATGCTTACCTAACTTTTTAAAGATGCTACTTTTACCTCTCCCCCAAATCGATACACGTGTATTTCACTTGTGGAAGTCTACTGCTTTGGACAGTGCTTGGGCTAGAGATTCTCGCCCATATCAACTTTCTTTTCTCTCGTAGGTTCTCGCGCGTTTAGAGATGCGCCACACTCGCGGTTTTGCTGTCGGGATCTTGAACTATGTTTATTGGACCTTTTAAAGATGCTAGATTTGGCCGTTTCTCAAATCTGCACACGTGTATTTCACTTGTGGAAGTCTGTCGCTTTGGACAATGCCTGGGTAAAGATTCTCGCCCATTTATATCTTTTTTTCACTCGCGTGTTCTCTGTCGGGTGTGAATTCAAAATGGCGGCCTGAGTAGGAAATCTGCTTCACAATCTGATGGTTGGTCATTCAACAGGATTGCGTTGAAGAGTGGTATATTTGCTGGTGCAGGTCTTTTAATAAGAAAGACATAGGGAGAACACTGAATATGAAGACAATCATTAAGACAATTTGGGAAATTTACAAAAACCCTTCCATGATCATTGCCCAGGACTAAAGGGTAAAGCAAGGTAAATGGTTAATATGTGTATATCACCCAGAAACATCTTGAGTAAATGTACTATAAAGCACATTGATCGGTGTTGCAAATTATCACTCTTCTCAAAATTAATAATTCAACAAATTTAAACAAAGGAAAAATTTGAAAACACAGCTTCAATTTTAGGGTTAGGCCCGCCGTCCACATAAATCTGGATAACTTGACCACCGAATTGAAAAACGGAGCTTTTCGTAAACGCTCCACAAACAGGAGGAATTTGAAAACGCTGGCTTTTCGGTGAAGTGTAGACAGAAAACATTTTGAAAACGGAGTTTTTCCGAAAACGATGACGTCACGATAATCACGCAATTTTCGTATCCGAGTCTTCCTCAAACATAAATCCAAAATGGCGTCCGAAATGGCGGGAGCAACACTGCATTCAAGGGTTTCCGTCATCGATGTTTGTTGCATTTTCAATTTTCTCTGACGTAGTGTGCACGTAAAACATTTGAGATGTTTTAAGAGTAAAGACCGCCGTTTTCATATTTCTCTGGCATAGTGTGGACTAGAGAGGATATGTCCTGAAACAGCTAGTTGTGGAGATTACGTAATTGATAATGACGTAGAGACAGAAAAGCTATTGTGTAAGAGAAGATTGCGATTATTGCGACGCAGTGATAAAACTGCGTAGCTGATCCACAAAGTTACGTGGTAATAGAAAAAATACACTGTGTCAAGGGCAGGAAGGAAATCCCAGAAGAACATTAAAATCACATATGTTCGCTTCAGGGGGGGAGGGGGGTAAATTAATCAAGAGTCGAAGGCGCTAGTGGTTTGCTTTTTGTTGTTGTTGTTGTTTTGCAGAGGTAGGGGAGATAAGAAAACGCTAGGATCCGTAACGAGCGACAGAAGTAGTTGAGATAGTTGATTGCAACGAGTGCTAATTTAAATATTTCACTTATTCCATTTCAAATTCGGTTTACATTGGGAACCACACCCTCTCCCCCTTTTCAATGTTGTTCAGGAAAGAGCCAAGTTTTAGATACAGGAAGTGGGGCAGGGAGGGGGTAGTTTCGTAGAGTTGAGGGGAAAATTTGCCTTAAGCTCTCCAAGCTCTCTCAAGACTTTTGTCGCCCATTGTGGGTACGCCCAATAACTGTAATAATTGCTCATGGACAGAAAATGTTCACCGCTGAAAGGCACGTCCCTGGTAATTCAATTCACCAGTCGAATCTACAGCGCAATACATTTGTTCGTATGTTTCCCCACTTTCGTCCTCGGTAGAATTTAGCACCATTTCCGTTTCGCAAATACTAGCCGTGACCTGGCCGGGGAGGGAAAGCTGTATGCACCGATAAAAATAGCAACGAATAATCGTAACAACTTGTCATTTATAACTTAACTTCCTCTTTGTAAAACTTCCTCAAGAGTCATTCCCAAGTGGACAGGAAGACCTTGAAAATGAAGTTACCTGTAAAGATGCCAGCTGTAATACATACTGACCGATAGGACAGTTATGAATTAAGTCATTATGACATTACTTTATACAACATAAAGTCGACACAATTTCTTGAACATATGAAGAACAAAGGTCTAAGTTACTACTACAAAACATTAGCTCAGTGCACAGTAGGCGGAACTAAGATATGGGACGTAAAATATAGCTCAAGCAAAGAGTCGAAAAAACAGCGAGAAAGAGGGAAAAACGTCCCCGAGGGGAGGAGTGAGGGTCAAAAGCCTTACAAAAAGATTATTGACCAAGCTCAGGAACCGGATGCAGAGATTCACTCGGGGTTCTTCAAAAATGATTTTCTCCACTTATGAACTACAACAAGTTATTGACCTAGTGCGAGGTCCGGATGTCGAAATTTATTCCGAGGTCTTTATTATTTTAACGCTTAAGTGCAAAGAAAAATGTGTAAGGAGGCGTGGGCAATAACCTTGCAAAATAATTTGTATTATGCTTCCAACATAACAAAACGAAAGTGGCTGCTAACAAATGGGGAAAAACGCAAATAATATTGATTGCCCACTTAGAAAGAAACCATCTTTCCCGGTTAACTGGAAATACTGTAGTTATCAATTACGAGCAATATATTCAACACTGTTTAAAATTTCAATCTTTCTTTAAGAGCTAACATTGGCTTCTGCTTCTAAAATAAATCAGGCCTAACTGTTATCGATTTCATTCCTCTGGAAAAATCAGCATAGTCGCCATTATTGTGAGGATTTTGTAGCAGTCTCTGGGGCATGTCCAGAACTTGGTTTCTTAAAAAGACCATCCACAAGCCTTGCTCTGTTTCTCAATGACTCATATTTAAGGTAAGCACCCAAACAGCTCCAAACATTCTTGATTTATCGCCTTTCCCCTTGATGCCATTTAATCCTTTGTTTTATACCACTTCAGTTTGCTCACCGCATTGAAATTTTGTTTGCGTGGAGCCAAGGACAGCGATGGAATGCTTCCTTCCTAAAGACTTTGTAAACTGTGCTTCCATTCTGACTGTAATATCCTGGAACACATCTGGCGACTCGCCGTGCTCTTCCAGAATGCACCGCACGAGCGCCTTGAGCAGATCAAAGCAGTGAATGAGTTCGCCGGCTCGTATGGTGATATCTAATTGTCGCAACCGCTCGTCGTTAGGTTTGGGATGCCTGAATGGTTTATCCAGCGCGTCCACAAAGTCCGATAGTTGACTTAGAGGAATGAATTGCTTTCCATTTGGAACAAAGGCAGCCCATTTAAGATAATACCTGTCAAAATCTTCTTTCGTTATGGCAAAATCGTCGTTTTCGTGAGCGCGGTTGACGTTTTCAAGAATTACAGCGATATACATGTTGACAATGATCATAAACACGATAACGATGTAGCTGATGAGGTAGCTGGCAGCTCCGAGAGGAGAACCACAGTTCCCTTTTGGAAAGCCTTCGTAATTTGGGTCGCAGTCCGGTGGTTGAAGCGACAATGAACTCATGACGTCATTCCAGCCCGAGCCAGTGGAGAGACGGAACAGCAGCATCATGGAACTCCCAAACGTTTCAAAATTTACGATGTTATCCAGATTTCCTTGCTTCTTGACTCGACCGAAAGCCGACATGCCTATGATGGCGTAGATGAAAATGACCAAAAATAACAAAGTGCCGATGTTGAATAATGCCGGCAGTGAGATCATCAGTGCAACAAGAAGCTGCCGAATTCCTTTGGCAAATTCAAGCACTCTTAGTAGCCTGGCGATTCTGAAGATCCGCATGACGCGCAGGAGACTGGGATTGACTACTGTATCTTTGACGCTGATTTCGTCAAGTACTACCCCTGTAAAATACGGAGAACTCACTTTCATCACACTCGGTTTTTATAGATAATTATGCGATTGCGAGTGCAATCAAGAATTTACACTACCAGTGAAATTCCAAAATTCTCCCAAAATTGCACGAATTAGGCGAGTGCCATTTGAAGTAATATATCAAACACGGAAGACCGTAATAGATCACGTTTCTAAACACCGAGGAGGAAGTTGAAAATACGACGCGTAGCGGAGTATTTTTGATGAACTTTGTGATGTTTGGAAATGCGATCAAACACTGTCTTGAGTGTTTGTTATATAGGTATCTTCTCAATCGAAACTGAGGAGAAGAAATTAAATTGTAAAAATATGTGCTAATTAAGATTCGACATCTTAACACTGTCACGGTCATGATTTCCTTTTTTTAAACTTGACGAATTACTTATGAGTTTGAAAAGGAATTTTCAAACATCATCGTTAACGATACTGTTTTCATTGATGTGAACACTTTCTCTAGGATCAGCATAAAATGGTTTCGACTGAAAGGTGCTACGCAAACAGCACAATTGGTCTCTCTCTTCCAATTCATATATATAATTGCACATACTTTTATCACTTCATACAACAAATAACTTTACCACCTCCTTACCAATGAGTGATGAAATAACTATGATGAAATCAAATACATTCCACGCCTTCTTAAAGTAATGCTGTCGCAAGGCAATCAGTTTCGCGATAGCTTCAGCTGTGAATATTCCAGTGAAAACCCAGTTTGAGATCCGTGTTAGCCGATCAGGCGATAGTCAAGGAAACTAGCCCTGAGTTCACTTTAATGAATAATGTTATTGTTGAAGAATATTGCATCATTCCGTTAAACACGAAATGGTCCTTTAGACATCTTCTGGCCGTATTTACACTGCTTACAAGAAAGATAACTAATCGTTTGGTGCGGTCGTAACCTCTGGGCTTAGAGCTAAAACCTAGGAAGTACATAACAGAGAGTAAAAGGAGGGGGACTGTAGACGGCCTTAACTGAAAAACCGCTTGGAAATGAACTGACTAGGAATGACTTAAAGAAACTGAGTTGTAAAAAGGTCACTCTGATCAAAAATCTTCATCCATCTACTTGAAGTGCAATGTTCTATGGAGACGTTGGTTGGTTAGGTTAACATAGAAAAGTTGAATGGGGCTAAAAATTCTTTTCGTGAGGAGACATGTTAAACTAGAGGCGGGCGGGGGGTGGGGGTAGGGAGGGCTTAGAAGCGACGTTTTGGAACGGGGAGGTACATTACCGGATGTTAACTGTAGCCCATCCACCAGAAAACATATGCGCACTATTTGCGATACAAGATCGAGCATAATAACACGCTTGTTGATATATTGGATAAAATCTACTAGTATACATCACATGTTATATCTTTCAAAGGATATGCAAGATGCTGGAGACCTGGGCCGACTGTCCGTAATGCTGTATCATCATCATCACCATGTTACATATTATCACTGTCAGAATGGCGATCTCAAACTTGTCTCCTGTCACCACGTCGTATAACACGGCACGACATCGGTCCTGTTGTAAGTAGGCAATTAAGGTGAGCAGCTTTATTTACAGAGGAAGGAGCATTACAATAGTTATTGATAAAGGAGTGGCCCTCTATCCTAGAACTCTCCCGATCGGAAACCTTCAGAGTCATACGTTCAATATTCAAAATGTTTGTTACGCCTTATGCTATTTAAACAATAAAGTACTTTTTCCATGTTTACATAGGCTCATCTAAACCCTAAGAGGATTTGGCGTTCGGAAAATTCGAGACAGTTCTGCAAACAAGAAGACGCAGTCGAAGGTTTGCATAACTTTCGAAAATTCTCCAAGGTAGATGAGACAATGTAAACACGGAGAACGTTCTCTATTGCTTTTTTGACATATTTCTCAAGAACACGAGCGAATCTAAAACGTCACAACCGTTTTTACATATACTCTCATCTAAACGCACCCATCGACCAATGACAGCGCGTGTAGTATCTCAGTTGTTTTAAAACATACCTTCGGTCTTAAACCTTTTGCAGGAGGCTTTTTCTTGGCTGCCTCTTTCAGGAAATTCACCCACTTCCTTTGTGTCTCTGTTAGGAACATGCCCATACTGCTTATTTCTTCGTACTGCAAAATTGAACATGGATACGTCAAGTTCTTGAAGACTGCGTTGCACGGACTTTTCGTGGACTATCCATAGTACGCGTTCGATTTGTATAGCGGGTCGTGAGCAATTGCTAATTCCTGCTAAACGTGCCCAGTATTTGATGAAAGACACATGCTTTTATTGAGGATATTCGAGGTAAGGGAGGAGGGCGGGGGGGAATATACACATGCCGGATAATTGAGTAGCGGCGTCCTGTTTTCCTTGTATCAGAAACTTTACTCGTTGCAACGTGCCGCGCTTGATGGCTTAG